TGGGCCTGGGCTGGGGGACCCGGGCCTGGTGCTCTGCCCTCCTGGGGTGACCTCAGAGCCTCAGCCCTGCTGTCTCCACTGTCCCCATCTGTATGGGAAGGACGATCCTGCCCCGATGCCCCGGGTGGCTGGGGGTCAGCTAGACTGAAGGACACGGTGGGGACGGGCCAGGCATGTGGCCACTGCGGGCTGCAGGCTCCCAGGCCCGGCACTGAGTTCCGGTTCCCGCTGTCTCCGGCTACTGCAGAAGCAGCCGCCGGTGCTGGGCCCTCAGTTCAGGGGGCCTTCTGGCTGGTGACCTGCAGTGAGAAATGGGTTTGTCACGTCTCTATGTCTGAGGTAAAACACGAGCCCGACTTGTTTCTCTGTCTGGTGCCCCACCCTCCGCCCGGCCCATCACGCTCCCCTTACCATCCACCTGGACGGCGCCTGGGGACTAGCAGACCACCTCCCCACACCATGGACGTGGCGCTGCACAGGGGACGGGCTCCGGAGGCCCTCCTGGCGGGGTTCCACGGAACCCCCCTCCTTTTCCCACATTTCCTGAGAGCTGTCTGGTTTTTGGATGCCGACATCTCAGTAAATAGCGTCCCTTCTTTGGCAGAAGTGGCGGGGGCTCAGCCGGTTCTTGACAGGCACCGGAGCTCAGGGCTGATTGGCTTGGCACCAGGAAGGGTGCACTGCAGCCCCGCGCCCCGCGCCCCGTGCAGTTTAATGTCAGATTCGCCTGCAGCTCTGAGCGAGGTCGACCAGTGAGGACGAGTGACAGCCTGGGAAGGAAGGGCCAACCTCCCCCGACAGGTGGTGTGGACGCAGAGGCGGCTCCTCGTCCTCCCTGGGTGCAGCTCTGCAGCTCCCCGCAGGCCCACAGCTGGGGTTCGCTGGGTCTTGGCTGCGTCTGGGTCACAGGTGCCTCCCCTGCCCCTGCCCACCTCCTTCCTCCCCCCACAGGCTCTGGGCCCTGCACCCCGTCTGCTGTGAGGACGCTCTTGCACACAGGCACACACACTCACTCCATGTCCAGCACACAGAGCTTATGAAGGGATCAGGAAATCCTTCTCCTGTGGTTCTGAGGATGGAGCCCGGGGTCTCACGCTCGCCAGGAAAGCTCTACTGCGGAGCTGCACCCCAGCCCCCAGGCAGAATTTAAGCACAGCCAAACCCACAAGCCTTGATCCGCAGCTCCCGATGTTAAACTGTGCATCTACATCTGTGATCCCCACTCGCTGCAGGATGAAGACTCCACCCTCAGCCGGAATCCCCGGTGGCCTTTCTGGTCAGGAAGGGCCCCCGTGAGCGGTTGTTCCGGCCCCTGCAGTAATCATGACTAGCGGATTTTGACATCGAACTTCACACGGGTTCAGCCGCAGGTGGGCACTCTCGCCCAGCAGTACTGTCCCGCTCCCTCCACGCCACGGGGTTGATCAGCCGTTTGCTTTCATTGCTATGTAAAGTGTTTCTTGCGCAGAGCTTGGAGCCGGGCCTCTTGGTTGGCTTCTTTTAATTTTCTCCGTACTGGGGATTGAACCCAGGGACTTGTACGTGTTAGGCAAATGCTCTACAACTGAGCTGCATCCCAGCCCTTTTTATTTTTTATTTTGAGACAGAGTCTTGCTAAATGGCTTAGGGCCTCACAAAATTGTTGAGGCTGGCCGCAAACTTTCAATCCTCCTGCCTCAGCCTCCTGAGCTGCTAGGATTACAGGATTACTGTGCCTGGCTGGGTTCAGCCATGTTAATTCTTAATACTCCTCCTCATTCCTCCTCTTCTCTCTCTCTTTTCCTCCTGCACCTCTGATAACACATGTGCTAGACTGTGGGATTCTGCGCCACATGTCTTTTTTAAAAATTCTTTTTAGTTGTTGACGAACCTTTATTTTATTCATTTATTTATATGTGGTGCTGAGAATCGAACCCAGGGCCTCACCCACGCCAGGTAAGTGCTCTCCCCCTGAGCCCCAGCCCCAGCCCTGCGCCACACGTCTTGAAGACCTATTTTTAAGCATTTCTTTAGTTGTTGACGGGCTGTTGTCTTATTCATTTATACTTACATAGTGCTGAGACTCAAACCAGTGACTCTCACGTGTGGGGCAAGTGTTCTACCACGGAGTCACAACCCCAGCCCTTGAAGGCTTTCTTCCCCTTAAACACACACACACACACACACACACACACACACACACCCCTTCCCCTTTTCCTTCATGGGCGTCGGTTTGGACGATCACTGTCAACCTGACTTGGTTTGCTGATTCTCCTGTGTGCAGTCTGCTGTTTTGCTCACCCCAACAGTTGTGATTTCAGGCAGTTCTAGAATGTTCTTCTGGCTTCATCTTAGAGTTTTCAATCATCTTGTTGAGATATTCCATCTCTCTGTCCATTTCACTCCTATCTGTTCCTCTAAGGCCTTTAGAACAGCCAGAGTCTATTCTGAAGTCCTCTGGGCATGGGCCCACTTCAGCTGCACAAGGCCCAGGTGCAATCGCCAGCGCAGGCCTGAGGGGGGATTTAGGGAGTGAGTTCCCTGCTCCTGGGACACAGTAGGGACCCCCCGCAGGTTCCTGTGGGAATGATCATCCAGACAAGGAGCCGCACAGAGTCACGACTGGCGTCAGCTGTCACCGTGGCTCTCATGGCTGACACTCACAGAGCTGGCCCAGGCTCAGGTGCACTCCTGGAGTCTGAGTCAGCAGTGGCCACCGGCTTGCTCCAGGCGTTTCCAGGGGACAGTGCCGTTATTGGCCCTGCCCTTCCCGGTCTCTGGGCTTGGTCTGCTTCCCTGAGAACCAGCCTGGTCCCAGTCAGAGCCCCCATGGAGCTAAGGCGCCACCTCTCTGTCTGGAATAAGGACAGGCCCCCCTTGGGGACAGAGTGGCCAGCAGAGCCCTGGGCTCCAGCCTCCCGCCTCTGGGCAGCGCTGCCCCTGTTTCTGCAGGGCCTCTTTGGGGTGAGGGAAGGAGCAGTGCCTGGGAGGCCACCCCCCATCTGTCCGTCCCCCACCCCGTGCCCTTGGTGACAGGACCTCTCAAGCCTGACATTTCTTGTGCATCTCTCCCAGTAGGTGAGAGTCTTTGGTCAGGGGTGGCGTCTCCTGGGGACTCTCTGGGTGTGTG